GTGTGGATGGGAAACTCCGCTCAGTCTGCTGTGGAAGGCATGGGCAAGGTGGTTCTGAAGATGACTTCCGGGAAGGAACTGGCGTTGAACAACGTGCTGTATGTTCCTGAGCTGAGGAAGAATCTTGTGTCTGGCTCTCTGTTGAACAAGCATGGCTTTCGCATGGTGTTCGAGTCAGACAAAGTAGTTTTGTCCAAGTTAGGGATGTTTGTTGGTAAAGGATATGTAACTGATGGGCTGTTTAAGCTCAGTGTAATTCCTGTTATCAATAAAAGCAAAGTTAATTCTGTTTACTTGCTTGAGTCTTCCAATTTATGGCATGGTAGACTAGGTCATGTTAACTTTAATTCTATGCGTAGATTAATTAGCATGGACCATATTCCTAACTTTCAAATTGACACAAATAACAAGTGTGAAATTTGTATTGAGGCAAAACTAACGAAAGTACCTTTCAAATTGGTTGAAAGGGAAACTGAACCACTAGAATTAATCCATAGTGATTTGTGCGATTTTAGATCGATACAAACGAGAGGTGGTAATAAGTATTTTATCACATTTATCGATGATAGCGCACGATACTGCTATGTGTATTTGCTTAAGAGCAAAGATGAAGCCGTTGTTAAATTCGTTCTTTATAAGAATGAAGTGGAAAACCAACTTAATCGGAGAATTAAGAAGGTTAGAAGCGATCGAGGTGGTGAGTACGAAGCACCTATTGGTGACTTCTGTGCGAGTGTAGGGATTATACACGAGCGTACTACACCTTACTCACCTCAATCGAACGGTGTTGCCGAACGAAAGAATCGTACATTGAAAGATATGATGAATGCGATGCTTATAAGTTCGGGCCTACCTCAAGACGCGTGGGGTGAGGCTATTTTGACAAGTAATTACCTTTTAAATGAGGTACCCCACAAGAATCTTGATAAAACTCCTTATGAGCTGTGGAACGGTAGGAAACCTTCCTACCAGTACCTGAAAGTGTGGGGGTGTCTTGCCAAAGTTTTGGTGCCAACACCTAAGAAAGTAAAGATAGGTCCTAAGACGGTGGACGGTATCTTTATTGGCTATGCACATAATAGTAGTGCTTATCGGTTCTTAGTACACGAGTCCCATAATCCGGACGTACACGAGAACACGATAATAGAATCAAGGAATGCATCTTTCTTTGAAAATGTATTTTCTTGTAGGTCCAACGAGGGACCGAGTTCGTCAAAACGAACGTTTGACGAAGCTATGGATAATGATAGTAGGGAATCCGAGAGAGAACCCGAGCTCGAGCCGAGACGTAGTAAGCGGGCGAGAGTTGGAAAATCATTTGGTCCTGATTTTCTAACTTACTTGTTGGAGTACGATTCGAGTACTCTAACTTGTTTATTAGAAAATGAACCCGATTTTCTATCTTGTTTGATAGAAAACGAGCCTCGAACGTACGGAGAAGCCGTGACTTCTACAGAAGGACCAATGTGGAAAGAGGCTATTAAAAGTGAAGTGGATTCTATTTTACAGAATCACACTTGGGAACTTGTTGATCTTCCTCCGGGTAGTAAACCCTTAGGATCCAAGTGGGTCTTTAAAAGGAAGATGAAACCCGATGGTTCCATCGAGAAGTATAAGGCTAGGCTTGTAATCAAGGGTTACAGGCAACGCGAGGGCCTTGATTACTTCGACACGTATTCTCCCGTGACGAGAATAAACTCCATTAGAATGATACTTGCTATAGCCGCGCTGCGGAATTTGGAAGTTCATCAAATGGACGTTAAAACGGCTTTCCTAAATGGCGAACTAGATGAGGAAATCTATATGGAACAACCCGAAGGGTTCGTGGTTCCGGGCCAAGAAAGGAAAGTGTGTAAGTTGGTTAAATCGCTATATGGTTTAAAACAAGCGCCTAAGCAATGGCACGAGAAGTTTGACCATGCGATGTTGACTAATGGATTTAAAATAAACGAAAGTGATAAATGTGTCTACGTTAAAGAAACGATAGACGATTATGTCATTCTTTGTTTATACGTAGATGACATGCTCATCGTGGGTAGTAACGATCGAATGATCAAGTCTACCAAAAATATGTTAAATGCGAGATTTGACATGAAGGATATGGGTTTGGCTGATCTAATCCTCGGGATTAGAATCATTAGAAGACCTGATGGTCTGGTGTTAAGCTAATCACATTATATTGATAAAATCCTTGAAAAATTTAACAAGGATAATCATCAAGGGACTAGGACGCCATTAGATCGAAGCGTTCATCTAACCAAGAACCACGGAGAGTGTATTTCTCAAGTAGAATATGCTCGGGTTATTGGTAGTTTGATGTATCTAATGAGCTGTACTAGGCCGGATATTGCCTTTGCGGTTAGTAAACTCAGTAGATATACGAGTAACCCCGGTGCCATGCACTGGACGGCAATAGTGAAGGTTCTGAGATACTTAAGGTATACTCGAGACCTTGGACTGCACTATGGGAGATATCCTGCTGTACTTGAAGGGTATAGCGACGCTAGCTGGATATCCGATATTAAGGACTCCAAGTCCACAAGTGGCTACGTGTTTACACTAGCCGGTGCAGCCGTTGCATGGAAATCCTCTAAACAGACCGTGATAGCTATATCCACGATGGAATCTGAGCTGATAGCCTTGGACAAATGTTGTGAAGAGGCTGAATGGCTACGCCATTTTTTAGAGGATATTCCTAATTGGGAAAGACCTGTACCTCCAATGTGTGTGCATTGCGATAGTCAAGCTACAATTGGACGAGTACAGAATCATATGTATAATGGTAAGTCTAGACATGTGCGTCGTAGACATAATACCATTAGACAACTTCTCACAACTGGTGTTGTCTCGATTGACTATGTAAAGTCAGAAGACAATATAGCGGATCCGCTAACCAAAGGGTTATGTAGAGTAGCTGTGGAGAAGTTGAGACGAGGAATGGGTCTAAAGCCCTTGGTATAAAGTTCTATAGTGGACACCCAACCTAGCTGGCACCTAGGTTCAATGGGACAACTAAATTATGGAACGGAGCGTGTCACTGTGGTGGTCTCGGATTCCCTACCACTCCTCGTTAGAAACAGTGGCTCCCGCACAAGGTTAGCATGTTAAATGCTTTAGTGATTCGAATGTCGGCTGACATATGTGAGTATGCGGGATACTCGGGAAAGAATCACCTATGTGAGAGAGAAGTGAGGGTCGCTTCAAAGGAGAATTGACGGGCACAATTCTTCACAAACTCTTGCAGAACCAGGAATGGTGACCCACGACCAAAATGGGCACAATCATGAGAACAAAGCATGGTTGGGAGGTTCCTGTGTGAGATATGTCATCGTCTACACAAACGGCAGTCGGTTCAAAGACATCGCGTTCTACCGTACAGTCAGTAGAGTAAATGTATCTTCACGAGGGAAGGTTCAAAGGGTGTGACCCTACCTATCCTATGCAGGGATCGACCGTTGAACACAGTTTTTTCGTTTTAAAACTACCCCGAAAATCAATTTTCATTCATGTGGGGGATTGTTGGAAAAATTAGCTTAAAATGGCATAAAATGGCATATTAAGTGGCTATTTTGTGGTAAAATTATCAGTGGGGTACACTTCTGATTTGGGTCGGGTCAAAGTGGATTCGGGTTCTTCGTAGTGAGACGAAGAGATTGATATATTGTACGCTCAAAACGGATAATGGGTGAATGAGATATTGATTCTCAAAGTAGACCCATTTAAGTTGGGAAATGAAGGGAAAATGTAGGACTTTGTCCCACATTGGTTTGGAAACAAGATTTTCCCCCCTTATATACATGAGCTCTTTTTAAGCATGTAGAATTGTATAGAATAGAGGCTCTCTCGCGCGGGGGGGGGGGGGGGGGGGGGTGCAAATCAAAATCCAACTAGAGGACATTAAAAAGGCTTGAAATCAAGCTCGAGCTCACGTGCGCGGGCACGAATGTCGTCCAGAAATGGGCTGGCCTTGCGGGCTAAGTTATGCCTAACTTCGGTATCTGTTGTACAGATTAAACTCATCTATTACGGAATTCCGTTACAGGTGTTACACCAATTGGTTTTAACACCAATTTAATGGTCATGTTGAATGCTATCACTCCAACATCCCTATATAAAGAGAGGTAGAAGCAGTAGCATTTTACACGGTGAAGAAACAAAGGAATTCCAGTAGCTTTATTCTCTCAAAGACTCTGCTTCTACTCTCTTCTTTAGCCAACCAGTGTTCCAAGCTTTGCTTTGTTCAACGGGTTCCTTGTTTAGGTGCTTAAACAAGGAATCGTAGCACGTTTTATCCTGGGAAACCTAGGCTACAACGCTCCTAGCACTTGTGGGAGGTAGCAAATAAGGTTTTAAGGAAAAGAACCTTGTGTTCGAACTCGTGCTAAACCTATACCCAAACACTCAACCTTTTCCTTCCCAATTTTCTGTTTTCCCATATAATATTAATCTTTCCGTAGGATTATTATTATTTTGGGATTTTCCACCTTATTACCCAACATTTAGCATATTAAAAATGTACTTTTTGTTATGGTCCACATAACATTGTGTGGACTATGGTCCGCACAATAATTTGTAGAGATTGGATGCGAATAGACTGCGATATGGTGGTGATTGAGTTTGAAACCAATACATGTATATATATTACAAGAAACATCTTTCTTGGAAAGAATAATAATAATATAACCATAATTAAATTTTACATTAAAACTGGAATGTATTATAATTAAATAATTTGATCATAATTAAATATTCTTCTATATTTTACTATCATCATTAATTATTTCATAGTTTGTCATAATTAAATAATTTGACCAATACAATTAGTTTGGGCGGAAAAATGATAAAAGGATGATTTTACTTTTATTTATATATAGATATAGATTTGGTTATGTATGTTTCATACTCTTTAGATAGTTTTATGCATTCAATCACATTATGATTTCAACGACATAACGTGTCTTTCCGAGAAACGGGGTACTCATTCGCATCCGGAGGCCCTCATGGATGGCTTTAATGATGCGTTGAATGAATGCAATTTGGTTGATATGGGAATGTCAGGAGGTCGATTCACATGGTCAAAGGGACATGGTACTGAGGCGTGGGTGGAGGAAAGGCTCGATAGGGCGGTGGCTACGGTGGAGTGGTTGGAGATACACGATGATACAGAGGTTCGTAAGGTTTACACATCACAATCTGACCATAGTGCTATTTTCGTGGACATGGAACCGCGTCCGATACGGCATGCACGAAGGTCTTTCAAATTTGAGTCTGCGTGGTTGTTGGACGAAGGTTGTGCAATGGTAGTTGAGGCAGCGTGGGGGCAGTCTCGTGGTATGGAGTTTCAACACCGAATAGAGCTTTGCGGCCAACAGCTTCAGCGATGGGGCAGGGAGCATTCAAGCCAGTTCGGCAATAGGATCAAGATCCATCGTAACAGAATGGCTGTTCTGAAAGAGGATAGGGATCCGCAAGCAGTGAAGGAGTTCCTAGAAACCGGGGCAGCACTTGAAGTTTTATTGAGACAGGAAGAGATTTTTTGGCTCCAAAGATCCAAGCAGCTATGGCTTAAGCTTGGGGACTCCAACACGAAGTATTTCCACAAATCGGCTTCGGCACGTAAAAAACGTAACTATCTACAGCGGTTAATGGATCAGGACGGGGTTTAGCATGAGGACAACGCTATGTATTCCGAAATACTAAGGTACTATAGTGCTATTTTTTGTGCGGGCTCTAGCGACACAACGCTATTCCCCCGCATGCGTTGTTGTGTCACTGATGAGATGAATATCTCTCTCTTACGGCCATTTACGTCTGCGGACGTGAAAGAGGCCCTTTTTTCCATGGCTCCGGAGAAGGCTCCAGGTCCTGATGGTATGTCCCCGGCATTCTATCAGCATTTTTGGCCAATTTTAGGCCATGATCTGTCCATGTTCTTCTGAAGTGTGTTGTTGACTGCAATTTTCCCCGTGATCTAAATGTGTCTAATATAGTGTTGTTGCCTAAAAAGAAAGTACCTGAAAAGGTAGCTGACTTAAGACCGATCGCACTTTGCAATGTTGTGTATAAAGTCTTGGCCAAGATGTTGGCTAACAGACTCAAAGACCTGCTGGGGCAGGTCGTCTCACACTCTCAGAGTGCCTTTGTACCCGGGAGGCTATTGACAGATAACATTATAATAGCCGGCGAAGTAGGACATTATCTGCGTCGTAAAGTCAGTGGTAATTTGGGGTGGGTGGCACTGAAGCTAGACATGGCTAAGGCGTATGATCGCATGGAGTGGGGATTTTTGGAAGGGATCATGCGGGCTATGGGCTTTTCGAATCAGTGGGTGAGGTTGTTGATGCTTTGTGTCTCTACGGTCACTTACAATATCCTTGTCAATGGCGAGACAGCGGGGTCTGTCTGCCCCACTCGGGGCATTCGCCAAGGCGATCCTTTATCCCCTTACCTGTTTATTTTATGTGCTGAAGCGTTGTCTGTACTCTTACAACAGGCAGAAGCTAGTGGTGATATTCATGGTGTGAGGGTGGCTCGGGGTGCTCCTGAGGTCACCCATCTGTTCTTTGCTGACGACAGTTTGCTGTTTTTTAGGGCAAACCAACGCGAAGCTACTAAAATCAAGGACTGTTTGGATGGGTATTGTGTGGCTTCGGGTCAATTAGTCAACTTTGTAAAATCCAATGTCGTGTTCAGCACCAACACTGCGACTGGTATGCGACAACTAGTTTGTGACATCTTTGGAGTCCAGGAAGCTCGTGATTTAGGGAGGTACTTGGGACTACCCTCGGTGCTGGGCCGCAACAAAATTGCCACCTTTCGGTACATTGCGGATAAAATTCGGGAGAGAATCGGTTTATGGCAACACAAGCTCCTGTCAAGAGCAGGTAAAGAAATCTTACTGAAAAGTATAGCTCAGGCCCTCCCCATATTCACCATGTCGACCTTTCTTTTGCCAGTTCGTGTCTGCGACACGATTGAGAAATTATTTAATCGATTTTGGTGGGGGGGGGGGGGGGGTGGTAGTGCTAACAGTCGGGGGATAGATTGGCTCAGCTGGAGTCGTTTGTGCGAACCGAAGGCGAAGGGTGGGCTGGGCTTCAAACGCATTCGCGATTTTAATCTGGCTTTGTTAGCTAAACAGGGTTGGCGTATTCTAACCCAACCCGAATCTTTGGTAAGCAGGCTGCTTAAAGCCAAATATTTTCCAACAGGTGACTTTATGGACGCATCCGTAGGCACGAACCCAAGTTATTTTTGGCGCGGCATTGTGGCTGGACAGGTGGTTTTGAGACGAGGTTTGGCACGGAGAATCGGTGATGGTATGGACACACTGATTTGGGGCTGGAATTGGCTGGCTAGTTCACCCGACACAAGCTTGCTTACGCCTTGCGTCGAGGAACTCAAAGAGGCGAAAGTTCACGGGTTGATGAATGAACTAGGTGAATGGGATGAAGGGGTGTTACATGATCTTTTCCAAGCAGAGGATGTACACAGAATTCCCTCGACTCCCGTAAGCAAAGATTACAAGGATTCTTGGCGTTGGATTGGCGATGCACGAGGCTGTTACACGGTGAAGCAGGGCTACCATATGCTCACGGGTCAGTTGGAGGGCTCGGGATCTCAGTTTGGCTTTCACTCGTGGAATCATTTATGGTCGCTCTCGGTGCCCCCGAAAGTGAAAAATCTGCTTTGGCGGTGCGCTCGTAATGTGTTGCCTGTCCGCGAAAATTTGAAATCGAAGAGGGTTTGGATCGGGGGCGGTTGCCCGTTCTGCGGTTTCCCCTTCGAAACAACTGAGCACATCTTCGGCGAATGCGTCTATGCTACGCACCTATGGGGTGCAAGTGTTGCGGTACAGGGTCAGAACTTCCCAACTATGATGGAAAACATTATAGGGAAGCAAGATGCAGTACAGGCGTGCAAGCTGGCAGCTGTTGTATGGACTTTATGGAAAGCACGCAATGCAATAGTGTGGCGTCAAGAAGCTCCATCGATGATGGAGTTAAATAAGCTGGTTGTTAACATTCAGCAAGTTTGGCAGGAGACATATGTAACCCGTAATTCTAATGCAGACAGTAGGATTCTGGTTCCCTCTTGGATTCCACCGCCAACCACCTTTCTCAAGTGCAATGTAGATGCGGCTGTCTTCCAGGACGGGGCAGGCTACGGCGCGGTACTTCGTGATCATGCTGGGGAGTTTGTCGCGGCAAGAAGCGGGCGTATTAACCACACTCACGATCCGCTCCAGGCTGAGGCGCTCGTGGTGCTTAATGCTCTCAGATGGTTATTCGGTCTTCACCATAATAAAGTTATTATCGAGTCGGATTGTTTAGTTTTTTGTAATGCTTTCAATTCCCGTATGGTAGATTTGTCTTACTTAGGTTCGATTGTAAAGCAATGTCGTACGATTGCTAAGGACATAGGGGACGTTACAGTCCGTCATGTCCGGAGATCAGCGAATCATGTGGCTCATAGGTTGGCTCGGGCAACTGGTTCTTCGTCTGTCTCTATGTCGTGGGTTGTCAATCCACCTGATTGTATTGCCGATTTATTCTGTTAATGAAATCTGGTTTGGTTTGTTTCAAAAAAAAAAAAAGTATATAATATTAAGTTTAATTATGCAATTAAGATTTGTGAGACTTTAATTTACAAATAACAAATATATTTTTGGCTTGATAGTATTAGAATTTGTAAATTCTGTTATTTCTCATAAATTTAATTTTATGCATTAAAACATTTTTCCATAAATTTACATTTTACAAATTTTAGATGCCATCATTTCCGTTGAAATCAACTATCACCCCCTGGGCATCGTCCACAAGAGCTAACGCCTCACACGGCTCTGCCAAACCACTCGTCATACGAGTCTCCATAACCCACGACCAAAAGAAAAGTCACGAACACCTGGACACAGAGGCCACAAGGAAAACCCAAAAAACACTCACACGTTTCTAGAGAGAAAAAACGGGAGAGAGAGAAATTTGTATTTTCGTAGTACACTTTTTTTTTTTTTTTTTTTTAAAATAAAGTATTAAGAGCATTAAAATATCTTATGAGCAACTTTCCTTGAGCTCGACAGAGCATCTAGAAAAATGTAAGGTTTTTAACATTCATTATCTGAAGGTAAGTTTTAATATGTTTTGTTATTATTCTCAAAAGGTTGAATCTTCAATCTTAGCTCGACAGAGCATCTGGAAAAATGTAAATTATGATAACTCAGCTGAACATACAGGCTAGACATGAGAGGTTGCTCCCGGCCACATGTACTACAGGGTGAGACTCGATTCCGAATTATTGTTCTAAAATTTCATCTTTGTGACCAATAATTGAGCTGCCCACGCAAGTTGTTTTGTTTTGTTATTTGAAAAGGCATGCATGCATGTACTTTATCTTTTGCCATATGAGTGCAGGGCCGGCCCAGAGGGGTGGGCAGGATGGGCACCCGCCCTGGGCCCAATATTGAGAGGGGCCCCTAACTTTCAATCATTATTGTGTGGATCATATTTTGTTTACCGTAAAACAATATACATTGTACTCAGGGAATGTACATTATTTTTGTTCTGAGTGTACATTATATTATATAATGTACATTCAATACAAAAATAATGTATATTTAGTATATTAAAAATGTACTTTTTGTTATGACTCACATAACATTGTGTGGACCATGGTCCACACAATAATTTGCCCCTAACTTCGTTTTTTTTTTTTTAAAAAAAAAAATTGATTAATTTAAAACAAATGTTTGCATATTTAAATATTTGAATCCATGACTTCAAAATTATTTATTAATTTTTAAATCTACTTAACAATTATAACCATTTGATATATTTATCTCAGTTAATAGATATATATTAGCGAATCTTGAATTAATTTATGATTATGCTTCATATAAGATCCCAAAGTTTGAATGGGCACTACTTGAAGGCTATTATACAATGTTTTTTTAATAAAAAAATATATATGTTTACAAAAATTCAAAATTATCATTTTGTTATTCTCAATTAACCCATACAATCTTTTATAAGAGTTTTTATACCATAAACCAGGGTGCACCTTACAAGGTGGACCCTGGTTCTAAATGGCGTATAAATTATGTATATTTAGTATTAGAATTGTGAACTTCTATAATATAAATTGTGTTTCTAAGTCAAAACACATAACAACTGTAGAGGAAAATTTGTGAATAAAATACAGGGTTATCAAATCCTAATATGTTAATATTGAAAAAAACTTGTGAATACAAAATAAGATAATCAATTACATATATATACATACTTCGTAGTATACAAATTGTCAATTTTTAAAATGTAAATTGTAATCATTTGGACCCAGGTCCACCTTGCAAGGTAGATCTAAGTCTACAAAATAATTTACTATCTTTTAACTTCATATATTAAGGGCCCTTATTTTTGTTTCGCCCCGGGCCTATAAAATGATAGGACCGGCACTGTATGAGTGTCTCAAGGGGGGCTTGTCTCTATAATTTCTTTTAAGCCTTTAACAACAAGCTAAGAAAAGTAAAAGTTTATAGAAATTGAAGCTACAAAAGCAGATTATTGAATTGCAGAGTGGTTTGAATGGCTTCCATTTTTCTTAAATCGTATGTCTTACGTTTGAAGCAAATTAGTTGGTTCTTGCTTTTTCTTTTTTCCTTTTCCTTTTT